GTAATTATAGAAGACTAAACCCTCTATACCGAAGTGACATATGGCTGCTCTGCAGTTGGGCAGGGTTGTTAAAGAGAATGAGAATCCTCTTCTGCCCAAGCCATGTTATTTTGAAACACAGGGACAAGGCTATTGTAAGGAGAAGGAAGCTCTCCCAGCACTATTTCACTGTTCTGTGCTGTTTTCTGTTAGAAAAGCAGGTCTTTTAGACCATAACTGTAATCAAGCTACCACCCTGTAACAATCTTTTGTCTTTTACATGTAGTCTGTCACATGGAAAGGATGTCTTTCGATGCATGGTGTGTACTCCCTGACCATCTCGCAGAGCATTACTTCAAATGGTGCACTCCAAACAGTATCACCAATTCCCCTTCCCCTGCAACTTCCAGCATTGGGATACTCCCAGATAAAGGAAGCCATAGTGATGAAACAGTATGATTGATATAGAAAATACCCATTTGAAATGGATTAAAAAGTTAAATGCCATGATATGTTTTGTATATATGTATATATATAATGCTTGGTTTTGATATGCTAGAACAAGCTTGGTCACCATATGAATAAAAACAAGTTTCTGTCAGGCTCCAGATGACTACTCAGCTTGATGCCATCGTATTTTGGAGTGGAACACCCATAGTTTTGTAGTTCACACAGGGATTGCCTGCAGCTGACAAAGAGAGCAAGCCAAATTCTGCTTTCAGTTAACTGAGGTGAATAGAGTGGCTTTCCTGGAACCAGAACAGGCATGCTGGGCTGTCATCAGTTAACTGAGCACATAGTCGGCCCGTTGTCTCTCTCACTGAAACCAGTGTAGTCCAATGACTTGAGCAGAGTTTCTCCTACTTTCATTACCATAGCAGACCAGAATTTGGTCTTCTGCCATCTTTCTTTTCTGAGTGTACAGTTTTTTTGGCTACAATATAAAAACCCATGAGAAAAAAGTTTTGTTCATTTGAATAAAGCAAGATTTTAAATAAAATTAACTAGACTGAAGGACAAAGGAGGCTTTTTGATAGTATTTTGAAAGATTTTTGATTTTTTTTTTTGAGGAAACATAGTTAATTTGGAATTAAAACCTGAATATATTCCATAATACATTTATCTTGATAAGTTTAGGCCCTCACTCAAACAGCAAAAGCTTCTAGCTGGCTATTTTATAACTCTTTTGAATTTTCTTTTGTACCAAAACTGTCTCCCTGGGCTTCTCTTACACAAAGCAGAATGCGTCTCCTCTCATATAGAAAGTACTACATCAGACAGCCTAAGGTTATTCCCACCACAATGTACTTTAGACGCTCTTTAGGCAATTTAAGATAATAAATTCTTAAAAACATATAGTCTGTGTTGTTACTCTTAATGTTGCTACTGGTAGCAGAGTTCCATTGGCAGTTGTACAGCCGTGAAAATTTTCAAGTAAGTACATCTCACTTTTTCACTTCTATTTTTACAAATGGATTCCCTAAAACAAAGTAAACCTTTACAATCTCAGAAATTTTCTCAATGTAAAAATACCATCTGACTTCTATAAATGCAGAAGACAGTAAGAATTTTTGACACACTGATCACTACTCTTCATTTATACCTGCCCTTTCATATAGCTAAAATTCTGCCAACTTTCATGCACTTAAAAATCATAAATAAAAACACTAGCATTACAAGTGGATAAAAAAACTTCTCTATCCTATCTAAAAGAGCAAAATGAAATAAAACAAAAATCACACATTAGAAAAGACAAGGTATCAAAGCCCAGGGTATGAGAGAAGGGAACTATTTTGATTTTTTTTTTTTTAATCAATAAGACATGTATTCTAATAGATTTTTTTTTCTAGTGAATAAGAAAATATTTTATGAAGAGAGACGGAGTAAATGGGGAGAAAAGACAAAAAGAAGAGCAGGAGAGGTAAGATAAATTATGCAAGAGGTAAAGAATAAGAGTTAGGCATTGTAGCAACCAAAAAAAGAAAAATCTGGAAGGAAAAGTGATGAAATAATCTAGAGGCAAACAAATAGAGCAAGCTGGCGGGGGGCTGGCGGAGGGGCAGTATAGGGCAACAAAGGGGAAATCAGGACCTCAGGAACAGCTCCTAAATCTACATTGAGAAAGAAACCTAAACATAATTGCCTAAAGACCAGTAATGTAGCTACAGAAGTACAAAGTTCAGTAGAGGATGATAATCCTGAGGAAATGGTCATATACTCACACAATCAGCCTGTGCTAACTACACTGTTAGCATTCAAATTAGCTAGTTCTGTTTCAGCTGAAACTATGTCACTGACTGCAGTACATCCATCTATGTGACAACATATAAAAGTTCTTTTCCCCTTACCTTCACCACATAAAAAAAAGAAAGAAAAGAAAAAAGACCAGCTGCTTAAAATCTGCTATCCTGTAATTACTCTTTCTTCCCAGCATGCCTTTCTGGAATGGGACTTTTAAAATCCAACAGTTAATTTCTCTAGAAGCCATTTTGACTACATCATTTTTCCTTCAATCGTAAGTACCCTTCATTTTTATTGTCTCATTGATTTTGCTTTTTCTCTTACTGCAGAGGTGCATTCTCACAGAAAGCTGGTCCTGTGAGAAACAAGTGGGGGACTTACAGGGCTTGAAAATTACTGTATTGGATAATATGAGCTTTAAGCAAGATCAGGACTATAGAATTTTGTGGACATTGTGGGCTGTTGTAGAGACTGAGTTTACCTTGGGACCTTGATGTTACGGGGTTTACTACTCTCCTAAATGTGTATGTTGTTAGCTAGTTGTAAATAATTTTTTTGAGTAAATGTTTGCAGTGTGCTTCCTAGATGTTTGTTTTATTCCTAGATGCTTATTTTTGGCTTGTTTTTACTTGGAAAAGCTAACAAGTAAATATTTACAAAATAAGGAAAGTGTATCTTCTGTTTGGCTCTGTGCTTGTTTGTGGCCAAAGCCCTTGAAAGAAACTTGAAGTCTTTTAATTTCTTCTTCTTTTATTAATTTGTTCAGCAGCAATTTTGTAGTTTGTGCACAGCTTGGTCTGCAGTGATACAGAGGCCATGTAAATCTCACCCATAAGTACTGGAGGAGTCACAAGCATCAGGATTATGTTCAGTATATCTGGGCATATGCAGAGGGTTATTTTTGAAACAGTTGTCTTTTAGAGATTGGGGAGGGGGGGGTGGCGGTGGCTTTGTAGCATCTGCTGTGAATTCACCAGCAGAGTAGGCCAAACTGTTTTCATATCACTCAGTAGGGATTTCAATGAAAAAAAAAAGTGGCTTTTTTTTTTTTCCTTCTTGGAAACCTCCTTATGATTAACTCAAACTTGAATAGGAAGTGTGTGTAGGAAAGATCACAGTTGTTGTTCCTCTTCATTATGTAGCAGCTATCAGTATTTTCCTCATGCTACATAAAACCAAGTGATCTCTTTAGCTTTTTTCCTAATAGCTTGCCCTCAAAAAATAGTCAACAAAATAATAAAAATGAAGCTTTAGTACATTTTAAAGTTATTTCAGTCTTAACAGTATTTTTCTTATTTTATACTTTCTGCTCATTCAGTTCAGAGTACTTCTCAGTCAAATATCATGATATTGGGGAAGGGAGAAGTATGTCCTAAATATTGGCGAATGCTTATTCTCTTTTCCTCTCATTGTTTTTGTAAAGTTTAAATATAATTATAAAAGTTTACTAGTTAAAATAAATGGAGATATGAACACTGCAAATATTACCAAAACTAAATCAGCCTTTCTGCTCTCACTTCAAAATCAGTGCAAGATTCTCTGAACATTTGCTTCCAAGCTCCTTTTAAATTTTTTGGACTTTCTTTTGTATTTCTTTCTATAACTGTGGTTTAAAAAAATAAATAAAAAAGCTGTGGTTCTGAGATAAAATGTATAAAGATTTGCTTCTTTTTGCATATATATTTAGTGAAAATAAAATGCATTTTTTTTAATGGCTTACAATGTCTTCAGTTTTTTTCAATATCGATAAAATTGTAAGCAAAATACAATATGACTTAGAAGCACAATGTTTGTTGTGCTTGTAACACAACTTCCCAGTTGAACTGAACATATGTTGATTAGCTCCAATGACGACCAGTAGCAAGACGCTGTGGAGTTTTGGTTTTGCTATTATATGGAACTTATCAGTTGTGAATTCAATGGTTTGAATGTAACTTGAAGTGCTGTTTACTGTGGGTAAGGTGGTGCCCTGATACTCAATAGGTCTTAGACTGTCTTCCTTATTCAACTACAGACTCAAAGGTTTTGCAGAAGGTCATTCAAATTCTGTTATTCCTCTCAAAATGGGAAATGTTGTGGTAGTAAAACTGATTTTGAAAACAGGAGGGCTATGGTGATAAATATATTAACATGTTACGAGACAGCATTCATTACTTAGCCCAAGATATAAGGAATAATATTTACAAGCAATTCTGACATACTTTTTTGATACTAGAAAGCCTTCCTGTCTTTTGCACGTACTAAAATCTATCCCTCATCTTTACATGTATATTTTTTCCCCAAGCTTCCGCCAACGGTTTTTTATGAAAGTAACAGATGCCAAGTTTATGTAAAGGCTAATTCCTCTTCTTCCAAATGACCCACTTATGGTACGTACCAGTCTACTACAGTGATCTCATAATCATGTGGCCGATGCATATGTTCATTCCGTTGTACGGTGTCCTACAAATTCTGCAGACTTACTGAGAGAACCACAGCTGCCTGGCCCCACTGCCTACAGCATTGCTCAAGAGAAGTATTATGGGTAACAGTCTAACAGCTTTCCTTAAATTCTTGCCAAATAAACATCTCTTTAGTAAATCATATCTCAAATTTAAATAAACAGTATGAATAAACAAAGTCTTTTCATTTTCTGAAATAAGAGCAATGTCTTTGATAAATAGACATGATCTGGTTGTGTAATCTGTTTCAGGTTAAGATCACTTTAATATTGTTTTGCATTCACTACTTCAGCTGCCTCTTCCTATATGACGCTTATTATCAGAAAAGCAAGCAATTACCGAGACAATCTCGTCCTCTGCCGGTACAGTTGCTGCTGATAGTGCTGCTGCCAGTGCTGCTGCCCTGGCTGCCTTCCTCATTGCTCTCTGAGTCTGAAGATTGGTAAAGTAGTTGACAGCTGCAAACTCAATAAGTGCAGAGAAGACAAAGGCAAAGCACACAGCTATGAACCAATCCATGGCGGTGGCATAGGACACCTTGGGCAAAGAATGGCGTGCACTGATGCTTAAAGTGGTCATTGTTAGAACTGTTGTGATTCCTTGAAAATAAGAGAAAGAAAATAAGGACATTAGAATTTTGCTTCCACCCTGCTACTCTTAAATTCATAGATATTTAAAACAAAAAACCAACTCCTTTTTGGTTTTAGCTGTCATCCTACATACCAGCTAACCAACAAGACTGCTAAGTATTTTGTATTCTTAAATAATTCTTGTTTGCTGGCTTCAGCATCTAAAAGCTCTGAGCAAACTTCATTAATAGATTGAGCTGACTGAAAATTAAGATAACTACACACTCCATGGTGCAGCTTCTTAGAATTGCGACAAACATGGGTATAACAAAATTCAGGCTCAAACTATGAAAGAAACTTTACTTGAGGGGTTAGTAAGTGGAATGTTTGGCAGAAATCTAGATTAACATACTGTCATTTCCCAACAGTGATCCTTTCTTTCTCCTATTGTTGCACAAGACAGATCATGGTTTACAGAACCCTCACTGAATCGATTGGATTCTCCATTAAAAACAGGGGTAGGCTGTGATCCAAATATTTCAAGTAATAAGAGTTTGGTCCTCTGTGCTGTTGTCTTTAATCACTGGATACATTCTTTAAGATTCACTAACAGCATCTTGATTTGAAAGCACCCATAGTTAGAAATATGGAAGTACACAAAAGCTACTTCTCTAGACCTGCTTATTTATTTTCACGCAACAAGTCTTGTCATGTAGCTCATGGACCCCACAGTGTTCTTCATGTGAATTCATGAATTTATTCTTTCTGTTTTGGAATATACAGCATTAATAATGTAGGAAATATGCTTCCTACTGCTGCACAAAGTGCAAGAACAATCTCATTCATTAACATATAAGCCTCTGTAACTCAAGTTTACTTATAATTATGCCTGCTAGAATGTGAAAACTGCAGGTGTTTAAAGACAGTAAGGTGGAGAATACCCTCTTCTGCTCTTTTCTGCAGTTGGGAAAGGGTAGGTGGGAAAATAAAAGATGTTGTAACGTCGTGTTGTGATGATGAATCAATATGCTACAAATGACGCCTAGTGGAAAGGATGCAGTGTCATTGAATATTGCAGCATCAAGACAGGGCGACTTGATTATTTTCAGAGGTTTTTTTACAACTCTTTCACATGATGTAGCTTGCCAGCTGTCTCAGGTTAACTACGTCCCAATGTCATTACTTAACATGTTTTAATGAAATGCAAATATGAGATGGTATGAAAATATGTAGGAACTCTACTTCTCCCAAATCTGCCAGACTCATTTTATAATATGAATACAAGTATATTGAGATCTATTTCAATTTCAAAGGTCCAGAATGAACTTTTCAATATGATGTGTGATTAGATTAGAATCTGTCCATGTGCTACTTAGTAATAAAAATGATATATTCTGTGTCTGAATAAAAACTTACTTTTTTTTTTTAAACTTAGGAATAGGACTCCTATTCTGTTACAGATACAGATAAGACTTCTCTCAGTGTGGAGTGAATATTGATGAAATGCTCTGCACTGTGGAAAACTACTTTATCAAACTGAATGCCAAATTACAGTTGGTAAACTGTGTAACTGATGATTGTTTACCCTTGTCTTTCCACTTTGAACATTTCTTGGTAAGTTTTAAAGAATCTGTTACGTAATGGAAATACTGAAATATATTATCTCTTCTTTTTAGAAATGAAACAACAACAAAAACCAAACACCTTTCCCTATCTGAGACTTTATTTATAATAAATTTTAATGACTAGATATTAATTTAAACTTCTCAGGGTGACCTGCTAGGAAGGTAGAAGCTGACTACTATCTTTCTGCAAAATAACAGATGAACTTTTTGCCAGGAATAAAAAAGATTAGATTAAGGCACATCAAAATGTGAAATAATAGCCATTTCTATATGGATTCAGAGCATACTTATAATTAGGTCTCCAATAACCATGCTTCTTATTGTAAGTAATTTCTGATAATGCCATGCTTCATAAAACTTCACATATATATATATGTATACGCATAGCTATGTACATAGCTCCACATAAAATAAGGAATTTCATATTAGCAATCTACTGTTCTTTCCAATGACACAATTATAAAGAATGCAAGAGTGCCTCTTCAAGTATTTCTGTCTCCCATTTTTCACTTGCAGGTCTGTAAAGTGTAGCTGCTTATGACCATTAATTTTTCTTTGCAAAATTTTCAAAGTATTTATTGTAATACTACTTGAAAAGGATAACTGGTATCCCTTTTGGAGGTAAATGGAGTTGCTGAATAATTTTTTTCTGAGAAACTGGTTTAGGCATGCCATTGTTATTCTTCTCTTATTAATTTCTCTTTTCTCAAAATTACAGTTTCAAAACTTAGAAGTAAAACCAAAAATTTATAATTCAAGTATTTGAGATATGATGCAGAAAGAGACTTACTTCTCCATTTTAAACCTTTTCTCTTTTACCGAGGCCTGAAAGTCTTTTTTTTGTCATGAGTAATTTACCTTCTTTTCCTTAGATGAAGGTATTCAGAATCCATGGGATTTTGAATTAGTAAGGACTATAAACTCAGTCTGTGCTTAGGAGAAGTAAGAATGGAATAAGGATCGAAATATCCTTTTAAAATGCCAACCTGACTAATTTTCCACAATACTGAGAAAGGTGTCTGTTTTACTCTTTTCATAAAATATTTTCTGTTTCTGCATTTACTCTTCAGTATGACATCTAAGAGTTGTTATTCCAGGGTTTGGGGTCTCTATGTAATTATTACTGAATCAGCTAAAGACTGATTTGTGCATTACTTCCAAGCGTGTAAAATTGACTTCCACTGCCCACTAGGTAGCAAATACGTTTTACTCAAAATGTAGAGGATGTAACTGTATAGTCCAGAGATGCAATATAAAGCCACATCAGGTAGCATCATATTTGGTGTACAAACCTCCTATATATATGTTTTATGCTTCAATTGCAATAAACATTGTTGAAAATCTATTGCCTGATATTTTAATATTTTTAAGCACTTAAAGAAATGCCGATTTCCAGAAAATAATAGTTGTAAGTGCTTAATGATGCCAAACTTCATCCCAACTCCCAATGGGGATTTCAAGAACAAAAGTGTTGATCTTCCTTCAGAGGCACCTGAGGAAGTTGTGTTCGCTTAGCATTCTTAAAAGTTTGCAGTGCTTTTATGGATACCGTTCGATGTTCGATGCAGGTAGGAAATGCCAGTTGACTGAAATCAAATTATACAAATTCTGTAGCCTGCTAACTACAATTATAGACTCATTTTGAATTATGAGACTTGCATCATTTATGTTTAGGAACCATACAGCTGCCTTTTTGTTACTGAATATAAGTCTCAAAAAGGGTTTTTTTTTTTGTATAGAAATACTGGGTTAAGAGAAAGTAGATAGGGTTGCAAAACATGTATGTATGGGTAACAGATTCATGAAGTTTTTGACAAGTTTTATTATTTTTGCTTAGTATTTTTATGATTGTTTTTCTAGAAACAACAAGTCAGTCAGAGAAAGTTTACCCCTTAACAATGAGTGCGGTTTCAGAGCCTATTAATATTGAAATGGAGGGTGTGTGTCAAAGTTAATAGCAGAGCACATACTAAAAATTAAGGAGACAAAACTCACAGCTTTGGAGGCATTAATTAAAACTGCTAGAAAGAAAAAAGGGCCCTGCTATGCAATATGGACACACCTTTCACATTACAACTCCAACCTGTGCTAGGGACAGGATTCTTCTCACATAACTTTATCCATCTAACATTCTTGCTAGTTGTTGAGATACCTTTGTAGACAAGGGGAAGAGAGCACTTCAGAATGAATGCCAGATGAGTTACCTTATGTCAGATGAGATTAATTCTATCCCATGCAATTATTTTTTTTAAACTTTAACTCAGATTGGTTTCACAAAAGAATAAATCAATAGGAAAATTCCTCTTTAAAAAATTGAGAGGTTGCCATTTACTCCAAAATTGTGCCTTCCTGCATACAAAAAAATATTTGGGGGAAGAAAAACATCACAAACAAGTTGGGCTATCCAAACATTCTGAGTAAAGAATTTTGACCCTTGTGGGCAGACTGAATATTATTTGGTTTAATTTTAGTATTTACTTTTGTTCATTGAATCCTACTAGCTGTCTTTTCCAGTCCTCACTGGATTGCAGTAGCTGTTTGATACAATGGATTCAATACAGTGAATGAAGTGAATGATAAAAGAACAAAACATGAATACCAGCCACGGTTCTTGCCGGAACAGACTCTTTGTTGATCCAAAACACAACTTGAGACAGGACTACAGTCATGATGCATGGAATGTATGTCTGAATGAGATAGTAGCCTATTTTCCTTTGAAGATGGAAATAGAGCAGCTGAAGTGAATATTCGCCTAAAACAAACAAGCAATGAAAGTAATGAATGAATGGTGTATGTGATGCTGAGTTGTTCAAAGACTTTAATGCAGCATACCAAAAACTGTTCTGGCTGGAACAGACTCCTTGTTAATCCAGAAAGACACCTGAGAAAGAATGACTGTCATAATGCATGGAGTATATATCTGTATCATGAAGTAGCCCATCTTCCTTTGCAAGTGGAAATAAACTGTCATGATTACATATTCACCTGTTAAGAGACAAGTACGTTAGCATTATTTTGACAACGTATGAGTAAACATTATTGGCTTAAACCCAACATACTATGTTCTGAGGAAAGCACTTGCAGGCCTCCTAGTGCATAATAAAAATAAGCCGATTAAAAGAAAGTAAAGTGACCTTGTGGAAACAGAGGAGAATAATACTCATTTTATCTATTGTTTTTACTGGGGTGGGGAGGTAGGGGGAATTCTTAAGAACTGCATGAAGAATTGTATGCTTAAAGGAACTGTATTGAAAAGCTATCTTTTAAGAGACAATAGTTAAATTCTTTCCAAGGATTTTAGTTTTTAAAATGGCAAAGGATAATTAAACTAATTCAGTTCTACATGAAAAAAAAAAACTGTAATTTATTTTCAAAATGTGTTCTCTAATGTCAATAGTTCCCACATGGCTACATCTTACCTGTGTTAGATTTAATTGTTTCACTAGATACAGTTTGTCCTATGAGGTCATACTGGAGGAGACTAGAAGACTCCTGTGGTACTTCTACTGAATGCAGGGGTCCTTTTTTCCATGTATAAATTATTTCACTTTTTGGATAAGCATCTGAGTTACAGAGGGAAAAATTACTATTATTAATTATATAATTTATAAGCAATTAAAAAAATAAGTAGCATAATGCCTTCTGTGACTCAAATACCCAGAGAAACATGCATCCTGCTCCACCAAACTCCTAACCTCATTAATGCAAAATGAAAAAAAAATCAACAATAAGAGAATGGTTGAGGTGGGACCTGATAGACACTAGCTTTTATTTCTGAATTTGCTATAAAACACATACCTTGATTACCACAGATCAACTAAATATTTTCAAAATTCATTGCCACAGATCAACTAAATATTTGCAAAACTAGAAGTAATACAGTAAATCTACCACAGTTTTTATGACTTGTTGAAGGACCCACTCTGACTACTAGATGTAAGAATAATAAACAATAAAATATTCTTCAACAATCACCCTTCAGTGAATAAATCCGTGTTCTTATGAATGGCCTGAGTCTCACAGGAGAAAATAAGATTCTAGTGTAAAAAATATAAATAAAAAATTTCTGCTATGTCATTAAGAAGTGTCCTAGGATCTCACTTCTGATGACTCTGCCCTGGTGAGGCCACATCTGTAGTACTGTTTCCAGTTCTGGGCTCCCCAGGTCCAGACAGACAAGGAGCTACTGGAGAGAGTCCAGCGGAGGGCAGCGAAGATGATGAGGGGACTAGAGCATCTCTCCAATGAGGAAAGACTGAGAGAGCTGGGTCTGTTCAGCCTGGAGAAGAGAAGCCTGAGAGGGGATCTCATCAATACTTATAAATACTTTAAGGGTGGCTGTCAAGAGGATGGTACCAGACTCTTCAGTGGTGCCCAGCGACAGGTTAAGGGGCAACAAGCACAAACTAAAACACCGGAATTTTCATCTGAATGTGAGGAAAAACTTTTATACTTTGAGGGTGACGGAGCACTGGAACAGCCTGCCCAGAGAGGTTGTGGAGTCTCCTTCTCTGGAGATAATTCAAAACCTGCCTGGACGTGATCCTGTGCAACTTGCTGTAGGTGACCCTGCTTTGGCAGGGGGGTTGGACTAGATGATCTCCAGAGGTCCCTTCTAACCTCAACCATTCTGTGATTCTCTCATACATGTAGACCAAATGTATTACTATAAAAAACTGAAAAATACAGAAAAACTTACAGCTTCCAAACTTCAATGGACAAGCATGTCCATCCATAGGGAAGTTCACCAACCGCATAGGACAGTCAGCATTAATGGTTAGTCTAGAATACATCATAGTGGATAACAATAAAAAAATGGTTTGCAGGAACACTGCTGAAAGAATAAAAAATAAAGGTCTACCAAAAGCAGAAGAATAAGCTCTCACCTCATTGTGTAAAGAATAGTTCCATTCTGCATAATTCTGAAAAGTTTGTTAGGAGTTGTCATATTATGAGCAATTGATTTTTTTCCATTTCTAAAAAATGTGTCTGGTGTCCAAATTTTACTGACCATTAAATTGTTCAATCTCAAAATTTCAGTTGGCCCACTAAACTTCAACCTTTCATCAATCCATGTCTGCCGAAAGAAGACATCCATTGTGTATTCCTATGGAAAATAAATAGGTGGTTCACTTATGTATGGGGGCCAGCAGTCCCAAGTTGCTATATATACAGTAACTCCATGGAAGAACCTAACACACAAGTCAATGGCATTTAATTTACTGCTTAAACACTTAATCCTATTACCATTAAGTAATTACTTAAAAAAAAAAGTCTATGAAAACATACTCTATTTTCTTATTATTTAAAGAATAGTTCCAAATAAATCAGTGAACAGATAATTTGATATGAGAAAGGAAAAAAACCTCATTGTCCTCTCAGAGATAATAATTTAATTGAAAGTGACTGCAAATGTCTAATTTAGTATCCTTTCAAAGTGCAAAAACAAACTATCAATGTTTAATTGCCAGGAACAAAAAGACATGTTCAGTGCCCCTTCTGCAGCTTACTTTGGATATTCACAAAGAAACGACTGATGTGAATGAGTCACGTCACAATAGGATTATGGTGTCAAGTTAATATTAATCTAAGTTCTTTTTCTTAAGGATTCTTCATAATATTCTCATAAGCCTTCAGAAAGGAGTTCTCTACAGAAGTTGCTTAGGAAATGGAGATAAACCTTGGCTAGAGGCAAATTTTCTAAGGCAGCAAGGTTATGCCTTCTCTTACACTGACTGATGAAGAAAGGTGGAAAAACTTTTGGTTGTATCTTGGGGGCCACTGCAGGTTCAAACCAGACTGCAGGTTCAGATGAGCAGGTATCAGAGGAAGTGTGCAAGGGCAAAAATAGCAAGCAAAGTCTAATTTCCAGAATGAGAACAACAATGCCATCCTCACTCCAATGGCATAACACTTTCCTGGGGCTGCTGCTGTAATTGATGGAGTTCCCCCAGTCCGCAGCTATGTGAACTTGGGGGCACCCAGCATGACAAGGGGCAGTCTTCTCAGAAATGGCACCATTCTGCTGCAGCTGTTCATTAGGTTGTCTCCTACGACGCAGCTTTCCTGCAAACCTATGTGTCCAGCCACAGATGCTTACAATCTTCTTAATGGGGTTAAAGAGGCATCTTTAACCTCCCATCCGTGCCCTCACTTGAAGTTAGTGTTGCCTTCTGTGTCCAGTCTCAAGCTGCCCTGGCTGACTCTGCTGGGGAAATAGCTATATGCAGCTCCAGCCAAACCGCTCTGCTGGGCCCTAGAGATTGTCAAGAAGATTAACCCTCGTAATCTGCTTTAATGACGATCAACTCGGATGCCACCGTAATGAATCCCGGGAAAGGAGAGGAGGGGTGGCAAGTGGGGCCCTTACCATCTCCACGTCGGACACTGGCCCAAAGCTGGTCACGTAGATGTCCGTTTTGACTTCA